CCCCGACAGGCCCCCCACAAGTGTCCCCAGTGTCCCCAACAGTGTCCCCCCAACAGTGTCCCCCTGACAGTGTTGCAGCTGCGGCCTCTGACTTGCCGCCTGGCAGTGCCCTGGACTCGGGGCTTGGAGAGCCTCCTCAGAGGGGTCCCGTGGCACCCCTCAACCCCACCGACGCCGGGAGGGGCGCCTTGCCTGGTCCAGGCCTCCCTCTGCTGACAGGGAAAGCCTAGCCGCCTGAGCACCGTGTCCCTTCAGCATCTCCCGCTCCGCTTCACAGTGCCCCGGAGACCACCCTGAGGGGGACCCTCGCGGCTCCGGCTCCTTTTTGGTGAGCAGGAGCTGACCTCTCCTGTGGGTCAGGCTCAGAGAAGGCCCTGAGCGGGCTGCGCCCCCACCCCTCGCTTCAGGCGACTCTCAGCAGCTGACCTGGTCTCCAGACTGACCGCCCGTGGGGTTGGCCAGCGCAGTGCATTCTCCCTCTCCCTGCAGGGCGCAGCCACTGGGGAGCCAGCAGGGGTGCGCGTGGCATCCTGCACATGGCATCGTGCACACAGCGAGGAAGTCAGCGACAGGCGTTAAAGCCAGACGGACGCTCATCTACGCCGGGACTCACATAAAAATAAAAGTAGATGAGGCAGCCCTGGCCCGTTTTCTCAGTGGTTAGAGCAGGGGTGGGCAAACTTTTTGACTCGAGGGCCACAATGGTTCTTAAACAGGACCGGAGGGCCAGAACAAAAGCATGGATGGAGTGTGTGTGTGAACTAATATAAATTCAAAGTAAACATCATTACATAAAAGGGTACGGTCTTTTTTTTCAATAGTTTTATTCATTTCAAACGGGCCGGATCTGGCCCGCGGGCTGTAGTTTGCCCACGGCTGGGTTAGAGCGTCTGCCTGCAGACCTAGGGGTTGCGGGTTCAATTCCCCATCCAGGGCACATACCTGGGTCGCAGGTTCGAACCCATGCTTGTAGGAGGCAGCCAATCGATGTGCCCCTCCCACATCGATGTTTCTCCCTCTCCCCCTCGCCCCCCTCCCTTCTACTCTTTCTAAACATCAATGGAAAATACATCCTCCAGTGGGATTAACAACAACAACAACAACACAGCTGGTGTGCTCAGTGGTTGGGCGTCGACCTATGACCCAGGAGGTCAGGGTTCATGCCCAGTCAGGGCACATGCCTGGGTTGCGGGCTCAATCCCCAGTGTGGGACTTGCAGGAGGCAGCCCGTCAATGATTCTCAGCACTGATGTTTCTATCTCTCTCTTCCTTCTCTGAAATCAATAATATGTGTGTGTGTGTGTGTGTGTGTGTGTGTGTATTTATATATTTATAGATAATATATATATATATAAATGTTAAAAAAAATAGAGTAGTCAGGTCTTCAGCTACTTTAAGGTCTTAAGTAATCATTTAAATTTTTATTTCAAAATCACTTGATCGCTCATCGTTAAATTAACCTGATGTGATGTTTGGGGATCCCTGTCTCTGTGGATCCATCTGCTCCCTGAAGACACAGGAGCCCCAGTAGAATTCTGCCGCTGAATTGAGTTGAACCTCCGTGGCGTGTAATGGCTGCCTGGCGTATGCGGAGCCAATGGCAGCGGCCCAGCGGTGACGGATGCTTCCAGCTTCGATGATATATTCTCGCTCTGTGTTCACACGCACAGAACGGAGACAATTACTTTTGCCCAAACTGCTCAACTGAATAATTGAATGTTTTTCCTGAATGTGCGAAATGATTTTTTAAATTGTTCATTGGAGTCTGTGGCGGCAAATTAACGCGATCAAATGATCATTTTTTATTCTTTCTCTGCCGTGCTCCGCGCCTCCAGTCCTCTCCGCAAGGAGCCCCTTAGGAAGGGCCGTCCCACGGGGTCAAGGCCCCCACACGGCTGGTCAGAGAGGGGCGGCTGGGTAGTGAGTGAGCGGAGGACGGCTCGGCGTCCCGCTCGTCTTGGAGGATCCCGTCCCCGTGTGGCTTTGGGTCCCCGGGTATCTATGTGCCGCGATTCTTTACTCGGGACTGATGCCTGCGACTTCATCGTTAAATCAAGAAAGTCCAAAAACATTCCGTTAACCAGGAGTGGAAAAGTGATTTATTGTTGTGCTATCAACAGGCCCGTTCCAGGGCACAGAAGGGACCATGTCACATGTGCACGGGCCCCTGTGAGTGACATGGGAACATGCAGGGTGCGTGTTACATGCCCATCCGACACCTTCACATACAAGCCCCTCTCGGCTTCCGCATCACAGGGAAGGGGGGCTGGGGCTGGTGCCTGGACGTCACACATGTCTCTAAATCCGTTTTTTTAATTTGTATCAAACGTCTTCTTCTCAAGCACCTGGTGTCGGTTATTTATTTCTACTAAATCCATGTGTCGGTTTCTCCATGGGGCCCGTGTGTAAATAGAAACACTTCTCATGTCCATTCGAGAATTTCCCCTCCCCATCCAGCACCGGGGAGCCCGATCGGCCGGCCCCTGGCCTGGCCCCCCAGCCGGGCACCCGCGGTCACAGCTGAGCGGCCACCTCCTCCTCCCCTCTGTCCACAGGCGGCCAGAGTGCCGAGGAGGGCGGTGCCGACAGCACCACCACCCGCTGACCCGGAACAAAAGCCGCCTTGCTTCTCTGAACCCGGAGAATCATGCCTTGACCGGCCCGTGCCCAACCGTGTGCCTGGGGAGGCGGACCCACGTCAGGGGAGAAAGTGTTGTTTTAATACATATTTTTTTCATTCAGAGGAGAAGGGAGAAGAGAGAGAGAGAGAAACATCAATGAGGAGAGAGAATCATGGATGGGCTGCCTCCTGCGCACACACTCCCTACTGGGGATGGAGCCTGCACCCGGGCGTGTACCCTGACCGAGAATTGAACCCTGACCTCCTGGTTCATAGGTTGATGCTCAACCACTGAGCCGCACCGGCTTGGGCAGAATTTTCCGGCTTTTCAAGGGCCTCCTAAAGTGAGCCTTTCCACGTGATGCTGTGACCGGCGTGAGAATCTGGGCGTGACTGCCTCCGTCCCGCGGCCTGAGTCACTGAGCGCGGGCCTTGGTGGGTCTCAGTGTGTGGATCACTCGCTGTGGGAAGTTCTCGTGTCCCGTCTCTGAGCACGGCGCTTCCTGCAGTGACCTCGAGTTCTGGGGCCGGACGCCCGGGGGGACTCGCTAGCAGGTCGCAGGCAGGGAACACGCGGCCGCCGTGGGCTGCCCTCCACACAGGGAGAGGCGGCGAGCGTGCCTTTGCTGACGTGGCCTCTGTGTGTCTTGCAGCCGCCGTCTCCTACGCCAACTACAAGAAGACGCCGCCGCCCGTGCCCCCCCGGACCACCTCCAGGCCCCTCATCTCGGTGACGGCCCAGAGCAGCACCGAGTCCACGCAGGACGCCTACCAGGAGGGCCGCGCCCAGAGGGGCTCCCCG